TTCAAAACCAACAACACAGAAAAAGTAACCAACAAAGAGAGAGAAAAGCGAAAGAAAAAAAAGTGAAGAAAAGTGCGTCAGCAGCATCAGCAGCAGCAAGCATCATCATCATCATCATCATCATCAGTATCAGCATCAGTCAGCAGCATCATCATCGAAGGCAAAGGAATTGAAGCTGAAGCTGATGTTGAAGCTGTGTGTGGCTGATGCCTCAGCAGGAGGCGGGCGGCAAAAAGAAATCAAATTACAAAACAGCAACACACACAGACGCATACACAAACACATAGATAGGGGCACACACACACATACCCATACACCCATATAGACTTTTACAAGATTGTGGCACACACACACAGTTGCAGAGAGGAGACGCTCTGGCACACGCAGAGGCTGAAATTGACGCAGGCTATATAATTTAGCACACAAGTTAAACGCAACAAAAAAAGAAAAGAATACAACAAAAATAGGAAAAATAAGAATAAAGAAACGCGAGGAAAATTAGGAGCAAAAAAAAGCAGAAATGAAATTGGAAACGGACAACGGACACGGCGAACCGCCCAAAAATAGATGGAAATTCGCAGCTCTCTATTCTAGCCCAGTGAAGCCACACGAATCGGGCGATATTTCTTGTATCTTTTTTGGATGTGATTCGTTTGTCATTTGTGGCATTAAATGCAAAATTAACCACCAGTCAAAATCGAATTAAGAAACTTGCCACAGTGTGTGTTGCAGAAACAAAACAAAGAGGAGACGGACACGGACCACAATACAACAAAAAAAAGTGTTGAAAAATGCCCGAGCAGCTGTGATGATGGGCGCTAAAGGAATGCGATTGTGTGTGTGTCTGAAGAGGGAGGAGGCGGAGGCGGAGGCGACCCTTTTGGTGGGTGTGCAGGACGAAGCAAATACCAACGCACTTAACACATATTTACCCACACAACAGCAACAACAACAACACACACACACAAACACAGACAGCACCCAGTCAGGGCAACATTTAGAGGCAGGAGTGGTCGGGCGGCGCGGCGCGGTGTAGGTGGAGGCGCGAATAAAAAACGAAAACATATACTAGGAGGAAAAAAAGAAGAACAAAATGAAAAAATAAACCATGAAACAAAACAACAGAAACACACACAGAGAGTGGGAGAGAGAGAGAGAGCGATAGATAGAGCGAGAAAAATAGATGGAAAAACTTGAAACGCGAGCGAGAGTCGTGTCGAGATTCCATGTTATATTGTTGACTTGTTTTACTCCTGTTTTGGCCCTGTTTTCTGTTGTTGCTATTGCCAGTGTGTGGCATGCCCATGCCCATGCTTATGCCCCCAACAGCAACAACATTGCCTGGATATTTTTAGCATTTTTAAATCGCAATCGAACAAAGCAGCACAGAGGGAAAACACGCAAAAATAATTTAAAAAAGAAAGTCGTTAGTTGTGTTTGAGTCTTTTTTTCTGGCTAATAAAATATCAACAAGCAATGGTTGTTGTTGTTGTTGCATGTGGCAGGCAGTCAGACAGGCAGCGCCTTTTGTTGCCACCAAGGATAACCAGCCGAGGCAGCAGCAGAAGCAACGTCATACATGTGCAAGGATATTATCAACGTCATGCCTGTCGAAGTTCACACAGATACAAAAACCCACGCATACACACAAGCACAGCAAGAGAGGGAGAGCGAGTGAGAGAAAGATGCTATAAAGAGAAAGTGAGCTGAGGACAAGAACAGCATTTGGTGTAGCCATTAAACGTATTTATATTTATGGCCTTAGGTGCCACTGCCCAGTGGCTCTTCCTCTCCCGCTTCGGTGTCCCTGTGTGGGTGTGTATGTGTGTTAAATACATTAAACTTCAAGCTGATGCTCGGATAAATCTATTAAAAATAATTTCGACTAAAAGTGTACAGAGGCTTCCCAGAGATAGAGAGTGAGCGAGGGCCACCACCCCTGCGGCTGACCCTCGTATTAAGAGGAAATTTAATTTATTTGAGCCACATTCTGCATAAAATCTTGGACTTCTTAAAAAATACAAAACATTCTTTGTAAGCCATCAAGCACAAGCACAAACACACATACACAATTTCAACGTAAAGTTCAAACTTTTTAAAGATCTTAAAACCATAAAACTGTTGCCTACTTTTGAGGGCAAGGAAGATACAAAATCAGCAGCTAAAAGGGAGGGACCAGCGAGGCACTGGAAACTTAAGCACAAGTTCCACAACAGATATAAATTTATGTGTATATGCCCTACCTGTTCCGCGAGACGACTATCTCGCTGATCCCATCTTAAGGACTCTCTGCATAGAAATACCCGTGCAACATTTTTGAGTTGGGAATCCCGTGGACTTTTGTCATTTTGTGAAACTTTTTGGCGCCTGTCCCCCGTCCAGCCCCGACAGTAACAACAATCGAAACGATATAAAAATGTCATTTAGCACGCGATTTCGAAGGTGGGGAAAAAGTTTTCCCTTCTGGGAGAAGGAAATTAACTTTATTGGCCGAATCAAGCGAAAATCGCTAAACAAATGCGCCCAAGCACCTTTTCAAGTGGTGGATCAGGAGGCAGTTCCACCCCGTCCATCAGTTACCAACTAGTTGAGCCTTGCCACACGCTCACACACAGACACAGAGAGAGAGTGTGTTGCAAGCACGCACACACATTTTGGCAAACTAAACACATGGCCAATGCGGCAAACTTGAAACTTATCGACGGCTCTAATCTAAACGGGACAAGCTGCCCCGAAAAGTTTTGTTGCCTCCATCTCTAAGACACACTAATTCGCAATTCTCTCGCTGCCACACACACACACTCTCACGCACACATAGGCTTAGGGTGTTGTGTGGCAAGTCCCAGAAAAGTAGGCTATAAAAACTATCAACACAACTCAAGTTTGTGGCAAGTTCTGTGCTGTGTGTTCTGTGAGCTGTGCATGGGATGTGCCATCATCTTAGATGCATGCAGCAGCATAAGCATAAAAATGGGAAAATAGGAAAACTTTTGTTGTTTTATTTTCTTTTTTTTTTGTGTTTTTTAAGTTTTACCACCCTTTTGGCCCCCATGCCCCATGGAAGAACTGGATCATATAATCCTTTCACTTAACAAGCAAACTTTTTGGCAGGGGCCGAACGAAGCAGACAAAAAATAGCAGGAGGAAAACTTTCGTAAACTCCTTTGCATAAACACAAACATGACCGTAGCAGGGATAGTAGGGGTATCCGTAGAACAGGAGCAAAGTAGGGGTATGCGTAGTAGAAATAGTTGGGGTATGTGCAATGAAACACTGAGGGTATCCTTACAGTCAGAGTCAGAGACGAGCTGGAGCAGGAGCAACCATAGTCATAGTCATAGCTGCTTCCGAGTCATATCTCCCCATGTAGATGTAGACATGAAATTTATGCATTTGCTGCCACCAGCCCCCCAAAAAGTATTTATGTATGCGCTTATAAATATATGCACATCTCCTCCTCCTTCTTTGTGCCTGCCTCTCTGTGCCTGTGCCTGTGCCTGCGTCTGTGTCCGTGCAGATAGCCAACAAATTTATGCTAGCAATATAACAAACAAAATATTTGCGCACGAGCTGCAAAAACTTTTCGCAGAGCAACTTTAAAATAACACCAAAGACAGCACAAGAAGAGCAGCCTCCGTATCACACAAAAAACGAAAGAAAAAACTGACTTGTTTAACATGAAACAATGTTTTCGGATGGCCTTTATACATATATGCTAATTAAAGCGCCTACGCCTAGGAGACACGTACGGTACGTGTACGTAAGAGACATGGCCATAGACAGATGGATAGATAACCAAATGGATAGAGGCATAGAGATGGAGAGATGAGATGTGCACAGCATAACATAGCAGATGACAGTCCGGGATTTGTCTGGTATTTGGCTTATGCAAGCGAACACTGAGAATTTCGAAGCGGTCTGGGGACATATCTGGGGAATCTGCGAGTATTTCACGGCATTTATTTACATTTAAACCAATGAGAACTGCACTTAATTTTTTAATGAAGTATTTTTTTTTGTCCGAGAAAGATTTAATAGCTGGGTACTTTACTGTTTTTGTATCTCTCTAATTTAATTACTGTAATATAATGTTTTTGTTTGTTTTTTTTTTTTAAATTTATTTCCTGTGCAATTTATCTACCCATCCATCCTTTATGGTTGAACCATCTCCACTATGATTCACACTATCAATTCACTCGTTTAGTGAATCCTCAAATTTAAATCCTGTGAAATACTCTCATAAAGGGAATAATAAAAGTCAGGAAGCCAAAAGCGAACAAACTACAACTTGTTTGCCCCACAGAAACATGGGAGGAACATGGCTGGGCAGGGGCTAGGGGGAGGGCACTGCAAAACGCTTTGTGATTTATAGAGAAAAACAAATATAATTAAATAAATCCTCGAATAAACACACACACACACTAAAACAAACTCACTTACACGCTCAAACACACAGCCACAAACAGAGAACGACAGACGAACAGATAGTAAAACGATTTCTTTTTTGCTGCCCGCAAAAAGGCAACAAGTAAAAATAATTAATTATAGATAAATGTGTGTGTGACGCGCATCGTACCCCGTACCGTGTGCGTCCCCCGAGACAGACATCGAAATATAAAGAGAGAAAAGAAGGGAGAGTCCGGCGGAGAGATAAATTACCAAAAAGCAGTGTGTAATAAATGACTGTGCCACAAAATGAGCTTTTAGTTTAATTAATCAAATGAATAATAATCGCCAAATGAATAGAGAAGTGCATAAATAATAGCGAGAGCGAGTTGTGTGCACCATCCATGGAGCGAGAGTGTCGACGTCCTCCTTCGCATGGCCACAACGGGAGTAGTAGCCCCGTAACGAGTAGTCAAAGTAACGAATAGGAGTGTAGAGAGTCGGGCCCAACGAGTAGCAGCAACGAAAAAGGAGCAGCACCCAGGCGAGCCTTAATATCCGGTCGTTTGTCCATACCGATTACCATCGCCGTTGCCGTTGCTGTTGCTGCTCCTTCTGTGATTCATTCTGGCCGCCCAACAAAACAACAACGAGCGGGAACACAGCGGCGACAACAACAACGGAGCGGTCGGTTCGGCCCTCAGCGGGGGGCCTGGCGGAGGAGGCGGAATCGGAAGCGGGGGAGGAGGAGGAGGACAAGGACAGGGACAGGGACACGGAGGAGGCATCGTCAGAGTCGGAGTTAGCGGTGGAGTCGGAACAGGAAACGGAAACGGAGGAGGCGGAAGTGGAAGTGCAAGTGGCAGTGCTGGCGGCGCTGATAGCGACGGCGATCCCAAGAAGACCTTCTCGCTGCACTGCTGTTGCGTGATCGTCGACATCACACCCGTCACGCACCCAGGACGCCTGACATCCGCAACAACGGCCTCGGGAAGGGATGCGGGTGGAGCCGCCGCGGGACAGCAGCAAAGCACCGGCGGCGGCGGCTTGGGGCTGGGTCTCGGCGAGAATGTCTCGCAGCTGGCCAGCCAGCTGTTCCGCTTCGGCAGCAAAAAGCGCGGTGTCTGCATCTGCAATGCCCAGTGCCGGCTGCAATCGCTTGGCGAGGGATCCTTGGGGCCGACCATCAAAACCCATCACGGATCCCTGGATCGACTGCTCCAGCAATCGGAAAAGACGACAGCGGGGGGAGCAGCAGCTCCCGTCACCGCTGAGCGTTCGATAAGTTGGGTCGTGGATGGCGGTGCGGCTGGGGCCGGGGCCCTGCTCAACGCCTCCTCCGACGAGAGCGATGAGAAGAAGAAGATGGAGGAGGCGGTGGCCCCACCACCGCCCAGGCCTCCCTCACGCTCCCAGAAGCCCACGGCCAAGGAGGAGTTCGATCGGGGCGTGGAGGTGGAGAAATTCTATCACCAGATCAACGGCGACATCTTCGAGATAACGCGACGAGTGCGTGCCCGCGACGAGGAGACCATGGAGCAGAAGTGCATCCGTCGCAAGGGTTCGGTGCGCCTCACCGAACCTCCCTCCGGTCACAGTCACGTGCGGATGGAACAGCAGAAGCCGCAGCTGCCACCGCGTCGCCAGAAGAGTGCGGAAGAAGTGGCCACCATGCCAAAGAGCGCTCTGCGGCAGGCACCCGAGCAGCTCGAGTGGTTCGACCGCAAGGCCCAGCAGCGTCACTCTGCACGCTCCGCAGAAGGGGGACAGGTGCGGGAGGAGACCATGGAGTGGCTGAAGCTGCAGAAGACGGCATCACCAGCGGCTGCAGCACCTGCACGCACTTCCTCGGGTCCCAGTGAGATCACCGTCCTGAAGGACGAGCTGCCAGACTGGCTGCTGGATCACCTGCCCAGGAAGCGAGAGCGCCTGCCGTCGGACGCGGCCAAGGGCGGGCAGAGCTCCTCCTCCGCCTATGCCAAGGCTCTGTCCGAGCTGCTGAAGAAGCCTCTGTCCCGCCAAAGCTCCGGACCGTGCGAGTTCTCGCTGCTGAAGACGGACATTGTGGAGTGGCTGACGAAGATGCAGGCCAGTGGTGCAGCCAAGCCACGGCGCTCCCATCATCGTCGCAACGGGAGTGGGGGAGACGCCCCAAGGTCCAATTCCCAGGAGGAGGCCATGGCACCCGCAAGCTCCCATCGCAAGCGGCACTCCCTGGGCCACAGTGGAGCGGTCAGCGAGGAGGAGGCGGCACACCAAAAGCACTCGCAGCCGCCCGATTGGATAGCTTATCCCCTGCACAAGTTGCAGTCTCTCGGCAAGCAGCCGCCACCGCCGCTTCCGGCCCCAAATGTGCCCAGCGGCTATGCCGTGCCCAGTGCCCTGGCCCTCGCCCACACGCCCCTCTGCCAGCGAAGAGAGGAACGGTCCAGGGAGCGCCGGCTGCGACACTCCGCCAGCGAAGTGGTGGGCGGTGGAGGAGGAGGAAGCGGCGGTCCTGGTCCATCGACCGCCCATCTGGAGCGGCTGTACGCGAAGCCACACAAGGAGCGGTATCAGTATGTGCCCAAGGCCAAGGATCCCGCAGTCTCTGGCACTGGATCGAAGAGGGAGCGATCGCGTCGCCATCAGACCCAGAGATCGGCCACCGTGTCGGACATGTCCGCCCAGCGATCGGGCGGCCACAAGCGCAAGTCCTCCAGTGCCGAGCGGGCGCCACGCTCCCCCTCTCCCGGCCCCTGCACAGATCCCGACTGTCCGCTGCTGCCCATCTGCACGGATCCACACTGCCGCTACCTGGAGTGCCAGACCCAGTCCCAGGCTCAGGCGCCGCCCAGCCGCTGCCTCACTTCGTCCGTCAGTTCGGTGAACCTTGCCCGCCACCAGCAGCTGGCCCAAGTCCAGCTGCATACGGTGCCCGCCCATCTGATAGGAGCAGGAGGAATGGGCTCCGATGTACCCACAACGCCATCGACGACGGCCACACCGCCGCCGCCGCCACCGCCACAGGTAGCAGCAGCAGCAGGAGGGGTCGAGCGGCGGCTGGTCATCTGCCACGAGTGCCGCTCCTGCTGCGCCCCGCTGCTCAGCTGCCAGAATCGCAAATGCCTCAATGCCGCCAAGTGCAACTCACTGCCTCGCTGTGCCGCCGACTTCAATCGTCTGCGGACACAGCTCGCCCAGCCCCCGACCACACTGGACGACATCGAACCGGCGCCTCCGATCATGATGATGGACCACATCGAGGATCTGGAGATGCGGCCACTGCCATCGCCGCCCTCGCATCATCACTACCGCAGCAACTCGCAGCCGAACACGCTCCAGCGCGGGGACTCTGCCAGTTCGGGGGCAGGCGGAGGAGGAATACATGGGGCATCATCATCCATGGGCATGAGTCTGGGCTGGCTGGAGCCGACGACGAGTCTGGTGCAGCCGCTGCCCACGTCCTATGTGCACCATCACCATGGAGCGACGATCAATGGGAAGCTGATGAAGTCCGCCTCGGCGGCGTCGCTCAACTCACGTCGAAGGCGCCACAAGACGGTGCACTTTGGGGAGAATCTGCTGCGGGAAGTGTGCCAGAATCGGAAGCTCATTAAAACGGAGCAAGTGCCATCCGGTTCGGCACCGATGAAGGCCAACATCCAGATGCTGTATAACTTCGTGGAGGGTGTACTCAGTGCCTGGGTGGACGATGATGAGGATCAGGTGCGCTCTGGTGCCGAATCAGAGCCAGAGCATGGCGGTGTGGTGGCCCTGCAGCCCATACATCGATGCAATCGCCTGCGCTATCAGTGCATACGTCGGGTGGTCGAGGAGGCAGCCGATCTGCAGGGTACCCTGAAGCTGGGGAACTCACGGTACAGGCATCGCCATTGGCGCAGCACGGCCAAGCAGTGCAACGAAATGTTCCTTCGCAAGGTAAACCCCCCAAAAAAAGGACTTTAAGATTTGTTCTTTAAGATTTTGTGAATCAAATGAAAGTATGTATCAGGCAATGCTTGGTACTTACTCCTTTGTCCTTAATTATTTGCTTGCTTAACAAAACGTTGATCAAATCCAAAGCACCATCCTTTTCACGCTCGAGCTGCTACTTCTACGGCGGCTCCTTCCACAAAAGGAGCAATAAATTAAAGCATTAGCCCAGCCCAGCCCACACCCAACCCCCCAACTCTCCAAAAGAAAAGCTCTTAACGCACACACACATACACACCCATTCAGAGAGAGAGAGAGAGCGAGAAATGGCCATGCCCATCCCCATCCTTTTGAAGTGCTGTATTTAGTTTTTGGGTAATGAATGGCATTGATTGCAATACGCATGAATCACAGACACAGCGCTTCAAAGTGATAAAAGGCCATTTGTATGAAGAAGAAAAGATTAGGGGAAAACCAATAGAAAGCGTAGAGCTAGGAGAGATGTACGGATGTAGTTCAATAGAAATATCAGGTATCCATCCACCTCTCTATGTGATGCATAAACAGTGAGTAAAACTACTTCACAGCTCAATTGAAACGCACAGAGTAACATATCGATGGAGAGAGAGAATTGTATATATTTATCTGTTTACATGTATCTTTCATTTGGTTAGACTTGACAAACAAAAGATACACGTTGGTCAAGAGATACAGATACTTGTAGTAGACACAGGCAGCAGCAGATATTCAAATGAGTGGTACAGCCTCAATGGAATATCAAGGAATAGGGGAATGGCCAACTGCATATTAATTAATGCCGAAGGATCGATAGAAGAGCAAAAGGAGAAACGGAGGAGAGTATGTCCGTGAATAAAATTCATTGGATTAAAGATACAAAAGTATCTGCTGGTATGCAATGTGTGTGTGGGTGGCTGGGTTTGTGTGTGAAAAGCTCATTTAATGACTCATTCATTCTTTTGGTCAAATTAAAGCTTATTATGTCGCCACACGTACTGAATATAAAACAGATTTTTACCCGTTGGGATGGGGATTCATTTTATGCTCTGGGAGGTGGCAACCTTCTCTTATCTACCCCACCTCTACGTTTTTTGTTTGCTTGTCAATTTTGATTGATTCAATGCTAAACAGTTTTCACCTTCAGACAATTAGTTTTTGCCGATTTAGTCAAGTTCGGAAATGACATTCCCTCTGCGGATGTTTCTGTGCAGAATAGTTCCAAATTGATTTTCTCATTGCAAGGCGAGCAGCTGAAGCAGCTAGAAAGAAACTTAAGCACTCGTATCTATCTATCTTTGAGAACCTTTACACAATTTATACTTAACGAAGGAGTAGTCTGAATACGACTGCATTCCAGATTTGTCTTTGAATCAATTTTATTTTACTAGCGGGGGGAAACAGCTTTCTTTTGCCTCAGCCAGCTCTCGCTTTTGCTTGAGCTGCCTTAATGCCTCACTTAATCGCAATGCCAGCGACGTGCCACAGATACCACATGAGGCAGTTGGAGGAGCCATGCTTAACCTTGTCGTATATCCCACAGAGAGAGGGAAGAGCGGGAGGACGCGCTGCATAAACACTCTATCAAATATTGTAATTTTTGACGACAAGCGACATATGAGAAAGATTTTTCGCTTCACCTACAAAATGGGAGGGTGAGGCGGGGGTGTTAATGGTGTACGGAGGGTGTGACAATGGCTGTACCAACGACATCTCAGATGCTCTCTCTCTCACATTTGACATTCAAAAGTCATTGATAATTATGGGTGAAACGTGAACGACAGCCGCATCGAGGGATCACAATCAATTCTTGATTAGAAATCGTAACGAAAGGCAGGCAGGCCCCAACAGGAAAGCACCTGGGAATCCCACCATCCCACCGACATACCTTCTACGTTTTCGAGTGAGGCAGCAGCAGCAGCAGCAACACATCCATCCCATCCGCTGCCTAAGTGGGCGTGTCTGTTGTGTGTTGCCTCCTCGTTGAGGGTTCGTCTGTGCGTAAATTGAATTTTGATTTTGCACTGATGCTGAGATATGGCGTATTAGGGCCCAAAGTAATCAGATGGAGCACCGAAAAGGAGGAGGCAGAGGGCTTGGGCTTGGGCTTGGGCACCCCCAAAAACGAATGACTGACTGGCTGGCATTTAATCTTTTGTGTGATTGTTGTTTGGACCGCTTTCCCGTTCGTGTTTTGGGATGCCCATTTAGGCTTAGACCCATGTGAGTGCTCACACAGCCATTCATGTGAGTGCTGCCCCCCCTAGTAAAGGCAGGGAAGGAAGCGGGAAGAGCAGGCAGAACCATGGAGAGTTGTTGGCCCCTAAATCTCATTGTCAGCTGTGGGAGGGCCTGATGAAATTCAAGAAACACTACTCCGGGTACGACGGGGTTGGCCAATTAAAAATTCATGAATCATTTGACAAACTCTTTGGACGCTCACACAGGACACAATCACTTTTCGGTACCAGGTACTTTTAGGCCCCACGATGACCAAGGATTCAGGCAGGTGCACAGACATCATTTCGTATGCAGAGTAATCTGTTGTAAAAGGGTACATAATTCCCATAGTTTAGACCCTTAGGCCCCGCATCTCCTCTACTTGACACTGTTTCCACTTGGCGCCCCTTGTTTCTTGTTGCTTATTTCCGCCCTTAGGCAGGACTCTCCCTACGCATACATTTTCAGAATAAATGGTATTAAAGTCACAAAATTTGATTTACTAAAGAGTGTATGCTCTCCCCTTTGAGGTCGAGTACTGGTCGAGTGCGAGTTCCTTTTTACTGGGTCAAGCGTTAGTCTTTAAATCAAATGAAAATCTCTCCAATCGTTACTCCAATGCATCCTTCTCCCTCCTGCCCCACAAACACAGACACACATTCGACTCGTTCGTTTCGATTCGATTCCCTTTCCCACATGCCACAGGAAAATTCAACAATTTCCACCACTCCCCACCCTCTGTCTTCATCCTGAAACAGTTGAACAGTTCCGCTCGACAGCTTCCGCTTGGCTGATGATGATTTTCATGGAAAACTTCATTGAGCAAGCGGAAACTATTTCATTTTGGTGGAGTGCCAGTGCCAGTACCAGTACCAGTGCCAGTGCCAAAGCCCTGCTGTAGCAGGTTGTTGTTCCTCCAAACCCATCCTTGAGCCAGAGATAGAGAGAGAGCAGAGAGCTTCCCTCCGTTTTTGAAGTTTTCAATATGAAAGTTTCCTTTTAAATTGGTCGCAGGGGGCCGGGGCGTAGAGTTGAAAATCCTCCAACCTTTTAAAGTGACACGCACAGATATCGATTGGTTAGCACCCCCCAAGCCCCTCCCTCCCTCCGTCATGTAACCACTTTGATCTGTCCCGTGGCAACTCCCACACTAAGCCATTCCCCATGTTGCCAGGTTTTCCTTTTGGTTATTTGCATGCCTTTGCACTCCTTCGATTAATATAAAATTTGATTAAACTTGGCCAACGTCTCCGTCTCCGTCTCCATCGTACTCATCCGCATCCTCATCCTCATCGTTGTCGTTGTCGTCTGATTGTGGGTTAAGTACACATGACCCCATGGCTGGCAAAAGACGCAAGGAGCAAGCGCTGCTGCTCAACGGGTGGGACTGGGTCCGGAGTGTATGCAAACACAGAACGCACAAGCCACTTGGCTGCCCTGCTGCTGTGTGCTCTGTGCTGTGTTCTGCCCCTCCTGCTGTGTTTCCTGGGGAGCAGAGGCAGTCAAATAAATAACTTGTAAAACATGCATATGAGCAAAAATGTTTGAAAATTGCCAAAAGCGTGAGCGGTGATGGTTTCCACGGGCGGGGGAGGAATGAAGTATCGTAGTAACCAGGCCAGCCAGAAGTAGGACCAAGCAGCACCGGGAAAGGGGAGACGAAACGAATAAACACATTGTAAATTGATTTCCTTGGGAACTCAAATAAAAAGTGGCATGAAAAGCGAGTGAGCGACAGTTGGCTCTTCTCCTGCTGCTGCTGCTGCTGCTCCTCCCTGGTGGGTGAATGGTGGTGTGTGGCCTGCCCCTGCCACCATTTCACATTTCTCCTGTCGATTGAAACGAATGAATGGGCAAACCAATTTTTATTGCCACGCGGGACACGTAGCCGGTAGTCTTGGCCTGGAATTCCCACATGGACCGAGGGCGAGGACGAATTCGAAGGCGAGGACGATGCTTGGGTGAGAGGTCTCCATCCTGTTGCAAAGGCAGGAAAATTGCTGCTGTGAGAAGAGCGGAAGGAAGTTGGGTAGAAGGGGAAGAAGGCCTGGCAGAGGCGAAAGGCAAACAACAGTCAGTCAGTCAGTCAGTCAGTTGGTCCTTCTGTCATTTAGTCAGTGAGTCATTCAGTCAGTTAGTGAACCGAGGAGTCCGAACCCGGCTTTTGATGAAATAACATTGCCAAGTAACAGTTTGCCATTCGCCATTTATTTCCCACTCATTCTCTCGCTCTCTCTTCTCTTTTTTCTCTCTGCCTGTCTGTCTGTCATTTTGTCAATTGTTCGTCCTGCCCTATCTCTATCTTTGGCTATGAGAGTCCTGGCTGGTGCCCTGTCCCTGTCTTTTTTTGTCCCTTCTTCTTCCTTCTGCCACTAAAAATGCAGGCGAGAAGAGAAGACAAATTGCTTTATCGACGACATACGTAACAAATGTTGCTGTCGGCACTGACAACAGCAACAGCAACAACAGCAACAACAACCAGTGCCACATACAGAGGCAACAACCCAGAACAACGAGAGAGAGAGAGAAGCGTCGATCCCTGGGCAGCCGCCATTATTGGTTTCAAATGGCTTCGTTGCAGGACTTACGGTTGAATCCTTCGCTGTTCTTCGGGGGCTCTGTGTCTGGCGTTGGCTGACTGCCTGCCTGCCTGCCTGCCTGCCGCCTGCTAATTATGACTTAATTATTTCAATTATTTTTTCTTGGATTTATTGAATTTTATCGAACCGAACCGAACCGAACCGAATGGAAACCCCGTACGTGGAGGTGTCTGACGTGACTCCTCGTGTTCCTCCGTGTTTTGCGTTTACCTTAATTAAAATCGAATTGTGTTACATCCTTCATCATTCTGCGTTTATTGTCGTCACTGATGTGTTATTTCTGTTGATGTTTTTCCTCTACAGATTTCGGACGATGATCGAATGAGCCTAACTACTGCCGTTTCGGATGAAGATGATGGGGAAAGTGTCATGGCGTCTCCATATAAAGCAAAGGCCACTGGCACCGCTGCATCCTCCTTCAATTGTACAGGAGCTGTACGAAAAGCTGGGTGAGTGTTAATTTAACTAATAAAGAAATCTTTTAAATATAATAAATTAACAACAGGCGGATGTGTTCTAAGTCGGGGAAAAGGAAAGATTTATTTCATGGGGTATCTTTATGATCAGCCAAGTGTGGCTCTACAATTAAATTGCTCCAGGATTTTTTATTTTATTCTGAGAGCCACAGAATATACACAAACTGAAACTCTTCATTAAAGAGGTGCAGGGCATCGCTGAACAATCTTTCAAGATATCAGAAATCTATCAACTAGAGCCCTGCCAAGTGTAGTCTTCCCTTCAGTTCTTATTCCTCCAGTTGATGTAATCTGTGGCAGCCACCAAAAGGAGGAGCAGGAGCTGGAGCAGCAGCAGGATAGCACGTCCAACAAGTCATCATAAATAACCCCCAGGATGGAGTCCTCCCTGGGTCTCTCTGTGTGTGCGTGTGTATGTGTCTCCCCTGGGGGTCACCAAGGAATATAATTTCGCAGTGATTAAGGTAGCCAGAGAGGGGCACAAAGATGAGTCTGAGGATTAACATTATTATGATAAAGTGTGCGAAGAGTTATGAGGGAGATTCCCTGCTGGAAGCTGTTGAAGTTTTGCCCCGCTCGCCCTTCTCCCCTCTAGGATTACAATTCCCCAAACGTTGGAGGGGGAAATAAAACTGAAGCTGAAGCTGAAGCTGTTACCCAACATAACCAATCTCTAACTCTGTCTCTCTCTCTCTTTATATGCAGCTTCCTATCGGTGAAGAAATGGTTACTACGCAAGAAGCATCAGATCGAATTGGCACGAAAGCGGGGCTGGAAGGGATATTGGGTGTGCCTGAAGGGCACCACCCTGCTCTTCTACCCATGCGACTCCCGTGAGGGGCGGAGCGTGGAGGCGGCGCCCAAGCATTTAATTATTGTGGATGGTGCAATTATGCAACCGATACCCGAGCATCCCAAGCGTGACTACATCTTCTGTCTGAGCACGGCATTCGGAGATGCCTATCTCTTCCAGGCGCCCTGTCAGGTGAGTCCTTCGAGTGGGGTGGATGTTGGGTGAATGGGTATTGGGGGGATGACGATGAGGATGAGAATGAGAATGAGAATGAGAATGTAACCGCCTGAGGCGCTCATTTTGAGCAGTCAATATCCATGGCGCACACAAGTCCTTCAAGGAAAACTATGAGGCAAGGCCAGGCAAGGCAACGACAAGGCAAGGCAACTGGCAACTGAAATTTGTTTGCACAAGGATGTGCAAGGATGGAAGGCCCGAGCCTGAGTTCAGCGCTCGCGGCGGCCTTTCCACACAGGCCTCAGACGCAGTCTCCTCATAATCGCCAGGCTAAAATGTATGCCACATAAAGCATCAGCAGAAGATGCATACAGATGCGCTGCCCCCCAGATACATGGATATACATGGCTCACAGATACAGCTGCAGATACAGGACGAGGACATGGGCATGGACGACGACGACGACGACGACGACGAGGACGAACGACGCTGACGCTGACGCAGGCGTTAACTGACGCAAGCCGCAAAAGGCTCACAAAATGGTCAGTGGAGGAGGGTGAGCGCAAAGGCGAGGTGGGGATGGGGTGTGAGATGTGATTGAGGTGTGGATGAGGCAACTCTCGGCGTTGACTGACTGCCAACTGGCAGATTGCCTTGAACAGGAGCTGCAACTGCGGCTCTTGCAGCTGCAGCCGCATCCTTGTGCCCTAAACTGTTACATGTCTCAAAGGCATACGCTCCATCCCACCCGTTCGCTCTCTCTCGCTCTCGCTCTCCCTCGCTCTGTCTCTTGCTCTGTCTCTGTGGCAGTTTGTCAGATTGCCAACTCTGCTCCGTTCTTTCCACCTCCCGCTCTCTCTGGGCCAACGTGATTTGTCATTAAATTTGCATAACTGATAGTCAGCCAACGACAGCAATGACGGAGGTGACACGATGGGTTGCCACGGGTGCCACTGCAGAAGTTCGACGTTTGGCGCTGGGGAGCAGCAAGCAAATTGCTTGCGGTGCATTTGGTCCTGCAATTTGTTACCATATTTCCTCTTTAACCAATCCCCGTTTCCCTTTCTTTTTCTCTTCCCTCCACTTTCCTGCAGGTGGAGCTCGAGAACTGGGTGAATAGCATACATAGCGCCTGTGCCGCCGCCTTTGCACGTCATCGCGGCAAAACGGGAACCCTACATCTCCTCCAGGAGGAGATCTTTCGTCTGGAGAAGGCCATTGAATCGGTAAGTAAATACCCAGGCACACATTCTATACACTACACAGCATGCATATATTTATGTGCCACACGTCAGTGGATTCCCAAAAACCCGAAATACATTACATTCAACACACACACACAAACACACTGCCTGCGATTCCACGCTGAGCTCAAGCAGTTGTGGCTGGATGCTGGATGCTGCAGCGTGCGAAAGTATGCGTTGTGGTTGCTGCCACAGGAGCAGCACCTGCTGGAGAATGTGTGGCACGAATGGTGCCAGGATGAGGCATGCCACGAGTACAAGTTTGGATTGCGGTGGCATTTTGTTGTAGTTGAAAAGAAATGCTCGTGGATTGGATTGGATTCGTGATGGGTGGATTGGTGGCTGGTGGAGGGGCATGGCTTGTGGCTTTGTTGATGCTTGAGAGTTAAGTCAATTTTGCCAAGTGGCTGAAATGGCGAATGAATAGTACATGGCCATGTCAAGAGCGATGTGCAGGCGGCAGGATTGCAGCAGAAGCTGCGTTTCAGTAATGTAAAGCAGCCAAGCAAGTCTCTACATATTTACATACATTTCATCATAGACGCGTGTGGCATTGAGGATAATCGTCTTGTTAATGCCATCAGTCGTTAGTCGACAGTGAAAAGAGACGACAAGTTGTGAATGGAGTCACTTATTGAATGGGGAATTACATCAAATCTGTTGCATTTGCTGCTTTGAAACGTACTGTAATCTATTTGCATTTCAGTGGAATTTTCCAAGTGAACACCATAAGAGTACGTGTACGAGTGTGTGGTTGGTTATTTATTGATTGACAAAGGCACAAAGCGACAGAGAGAGAGAGAGAGAGAGAGAGAGCGAAAACCAAAGAATGCCTTTTGTTAACTAACGGAGTCCTGCCCCTTACAACAAAGAAACGCACTGTCTTGTGTAGTGGAAAAAGTAAGGAATTTTTCATTTGAATTGCATATTGAAAATGCATTCAATAGGAAGAAATATTTATTGATTGATAACTTGATAACGGTTAGAAAGTGAACAGGGGCTGTTGCAACGAAACGCACTGCATTTTAGTTGAATAATCAAATTAAAACCGTGTACATTTTGGGAGTTTTCAATTGAATTAAGGCTGGTTTGAGCCGAGGTCAGTCAATCATTGGAGTCTGTTAGAGTTAATAAGTTTGAAAAGTCATTCAACTTTTGAGCAGCGTTCAGTAATACCTTTTTGAATACTACTATTTTTATTATGGTAATTATTTTTATTCGAAGCAAGTTCAAATTTCACCAATAATTCCATTAAAAATCAATGCCAATAAGTCTGAGTTCCCTGCATACCTATCTTGCCCACTCATTGGTTAAAGACTTTCGAGTGGAACTAAACAAATTGCTGCAGATGGTTAGATATCTTCGTTAGAGACAACAACAATTTCTCAATATCGCTGAAGTCAACACACAGAAAGAGACTGGAGAATAAGATATTGATAGAGAGAGTGAGATGGAACACAACAATCGCATTTTCCACATTTTCCGTCAACATTCCCAACCAATTTCTCAGTCTGAAGGCGATTCCTCCCGAGATTTGTGCCATTGTTAGGTAAGGAGTGCGGTGGGGCAGGGCAGGGCACGGGGAGTGGGGTGTGGGGTGTGTGCTACCACTTGCAACTATTTATGTATTTGCTTTCAAATCAATTCCCCATCAATTTCGCGGCAAACAGCGTAAAATTTCCTGCACTGCAATTTATTTTCTCTTCCCCGACGACGACAGGGAAACTTATCTTTGTCGATTGGGCAGGATGGTAGAAGGGCAGGAGGAGTCGGGCGGAGTCGGGCGGGCGGCGGGAACCCTACAGAAGACGGCGAACAAATCAAAGTGAGGGAAACGCAAAACAACGATGAAAGAGGAAGAGCGGAGGGGGCTCACAGAAAAAAAGAAGAATACGAGATTGCAAAAGCAAACAGAATTGAACTCGAACTGAAGCTACAAGAAATTGCACTTGCCCCACGATAAATGCTCTCTGGCTGAAGCCTCTGGTGGGTTCTGTGGAGGGTGGCAGGGAGAGGAAATTGGTTGGTGGATGGAGAATGGCGGATGGATATAGTCCAGAAACCCTCTGTGGGCGCAAGTGGGAATGGCGCAAAAGAAACCCAACAACGAAAGCACTGCCAACGCTTGTTTTGAAGAAAGTAAACTTTATTTGTATATTTATTTTTCATCATGTCATTTTCAGTTGTTGTTTCGCTGTGGCTCAGGCTCAGGCTCAGGCTCACTCTTCATTCTCCGCGTTCGTCTTATTCCACTGTTGTTGGCTCTCTCTCTTCCACCACTTCATTCTCCCGCTGCTGCTGCTCTTGCTGTTGTTGCTAGTTAGTTAGCAGGGACTCCAAAAGACAATTATGTTCTCCGTCCCTGTCCTTCACTGAAACTTGATTCATTCATCTCTGTCGCTGCCATCGCTCTGCTCTCCTCTCCCGCTGGTGGTGCTACAGCTGCTGCTATCAGCATCGCTGTCTTCATTACTATCGCGGCTGCTGTTTCAGATGAGGCTGAATAAGGTGGGGGCAGTAGATTACTTACGAGTGTAGGACGCATTTTGCCTACCTTACGATTAATGCACCTTTCTTTAGCTTGTCTACTTCGCTTTGGAGTTTGCTTCTTTCGCATCCAAGAAGGTGTCTCAAAATATGCGGAACATTTTCTGCTATCTCCGATCTTCCACTACTTCCTACTGAGTCAAGATGATTTGTCTATTATGTTTATATTGCAAACTGGAGAGTGTCGGAATGCCTTACCTTATCTTAATAAATCTTGCTCCTATTTCTGTTTATAGTTTTTTCTGTTGCCCAGCACTTTTTCTGCTTTTTTATCATCTCCATCTTCCCTTTTTCTCTCTCCCTCTCTGTGCCCGCTGACTTCTTGCAGCCCTTTTTTAATTTAGTTTTTCTTTTCTCATTTTCTCTCAAAGTTGAAGTTTGAGCGAGTCCTCTCCACCTCTCCGTCATTCGTCTTCCACTATCTGTCCCTTTGGATAAACCATAATTACTTCCTTGAACTGCTGCATTTTCTATTTTTTGTTTTTTGTTTTTGAGCCGTCTGCTCCCACAGAAATGTCGGTAAAAAAAGAAGAAACAAAGAACGAAAGAAAAAAAGAAAGTATGCCAAAACCAGAGCGGAAAAAACCATTGAGCGGAAGTCCGAGATTGCCATAGGAGGGTGCCCCTGTCCCGCCCCGTTCTCCCTCTATTGCCTCCTTCTGAAGGAGTGGAAGGCCTCAGTTTGCCGAAAAAAAACTTGTTGGATGAATATTAATTAAATGAGAGGCTTAAGGAGTGGTCCCATAAAATGCAGTTTTGCATTTTGCTTTCCGCATTTGTTGTTAATTAATTTTCTAGAAAAATACGCAAGTTAAAAAAACAAATACTAGATGGAAGGGACGGGACGACTGCTGGAGGGAGGATGAAGTGCTCTGAATGAAATTAAAAGAAAAGAAGATAAAAGGATGAGGAGGCTGAGAAGCGGCAGAGAAAAGGTGTCACAGCAACGAGCTTCGGTGTTGTTTGGTTGCGCCTTTTATGACGCCATGTGTGGGTGGATGTGTGCCCTGTCCCACACCTCCTCTTTCTATGTGTTTGTGTGTGAAAAGAGCAACAGTGCTGTCTCTCCTCTGTCCGGGTTCTCTGCTTCCTTTTTTTCTCCACTCCTCTTGTTGTCTTGCCTTCTCCTTTTGTGTATGATATGCTCCGCCCACATGCTTGACTGCCGCCTTCCTAGGTCCCACCACCCCTGTTACTGTAGTTGTTGGTGTTTTTTTTTATAGCTGTCACCTTTCGGAAATAATCATATATGTGTCATGAGGGGCAGGGGCAGGGGTGTGTGTGTGTGTGTGAGTATGCCACGTGGGGGCGGGCAGGGAATGTGGCTGGGTGCTAGGGTGAAGGTTTTGGCAGCACTTCGCTTCGTTTGCTTTAGCTTTTCTCTAGCTTGTCGCCCTTCCACTCTCTCTCAACTCATCTCTAGCTTTTTTTCTAGCTATCTATTTTTCTTTTCGCATAAAGCACTAACACACACACACACGCATGCATTAATATATGTATGTATGTGTATCTGCACACAAACACACACAGATACACAGAAACATTTACACAATGCAGAGCGGTAAAAAAAATATAGTAGTAGCTGGCCGAGCGCGTTTGGTTTTTCGTACGCTCTGGTTTTTACGCTCTAATTACGACTCCTACGACAGGCACGTCCCTCCACTGACACCCTCGCTATCCTTCACCCCACCACCTGGTGTGCAATTGCCATGGCGGCGCTGTCTAAACAAGGCTCACTTGCTGCCTGCCCACCGTCCCCCATCCATGCCGCCTTCTGCTGCTTTCAATTTGCAATGGCGGCTGTCATTTCAGCTCAATAGCAGCACTCCCCGCATCCTACCTACCGTCCTACCGTCACGCCTACCGCCTACCGCCTACCAATTCCAACTAACTCTGCTGTAGACCGTGCTATCTCCAATCCCCTGTTGCGCTCTCCCTTTGAACTCGTGTTTTTTTCTATACTCTCATGGAGGGTATTATGAGTTCGATGAGGTGTTTGCCATGCAGGAAAGTAAGCCAAGAAAGTATTAAATTCAAGTTTATAATCGAAAAGGCCCAAGAAACACTAAATATCTGATTGAAACTATAGGTATGGAACCAGGATACAATTTGTATAAGATAAATATATCTCACAAGTGGTAGAGTATCTCAATCTTCGTTATCTGTGCAAATCAGCATTTTCTACTTGTTTTAAATTGCTGTTTGCTTTAACATTCGACGTTATTATTATAACGTTTTTTCCTTTTGCCAAGTGTTTTCTCTTTATTTTTAAATAACTCTATGCGGTTTTTTTGTGTGCGGCAAGAACGATTTTTTGTTGTGGCAGAGCCATCGATTTTACATAATTGCACTAATTAAATGATGCATCGTTCGTGAATTGAAAGCTTAATGCAATTTTGTGGGGAATGTGTGGGATGTGCCGGCAAGGGGAAGTA